CTGTTAAAAATTCCCTTCATACGAAGGATATTAATTGAAAGAAATGCATTTGGAATTTAGTAAACAGTGAACCGACGTAAGGCCCAAATCCCATGTTTAGATGAGATAAAGCCCATTACGGTTTTGACTATTAACTGGGATTGACTCTTTGCCTGAGATTTTGGAGAAGTTGTTTGCATATCTTATGGCAAACGTTTGCAATCGAATGTGCGTCGTTTTAAGTTGGTAAAGTTACGTTTGCCCATGACGGCGGCTCTAAGCCCCTAACGTTTTTGAGTTTCTGTTTGTCTTTAATTAACCGAAAGAAATGCATTGGACTTTAGTAAATCCCGAAACGACGTAAGGCCCAAAGCCCATAACTAGATGAGATAAAGCCTATTACTTTATTCAATATTCGTGTTCGGCACGAACTACTTGCTGTTCAGAGTCAATATTATAGGACTTCATGTCGTTTTTGTAGAAGAGACGACCTAAAACCTAACCCTACTTTCCTATAAATAAGCCGGCTTCCGTCAAATCCCCGAATCAAACATAGTTCCTGCAAAACAAAATTCTGTAGATTAATTAGCTGTTTTTCGTCTCTTGATTTCGAATTGAAAAAGTGGATCTTGATTAGTCTATATACTGTGCAAGAAATCTGTTTCAATCGGCGTATTATTCTTCTTTGTTCACTCGTTTTTTCGACAAACTATGCGATTTTTTCTGTTTTTACAAAAAAAAAAAAAAAGTTCTCAATGATGAACAATCAATAGATGACGAGTCCGAGAAATCCATTCATACATCATGGGGACAATTCGCGAGGCATTTGGCTGAGAGGATGACTTTTCTTTTTTATTTTATTTATTGAGTTTTTACGAATCGAGTGAAAGGGTTTCTCAGTGATGAACAATAGATGACGAGTCCGAGAAAATCCATTCATTAATCATGGGGACAAAAATACGAGGCATTTATCTGAGAGGAATCCTTTTATTTAGTTTTTTTAATTTTAGTTTTGATATAAGAACCAAAGGCATGATGAGGATTGTTTATTGTCATCTGATTTATATTGATGAATCAAAACCTCCTACTCATTCTGAGTGCCTTTTGTTATGCTTTTTAGCCTTTTACTCTTTTTAGTTTCGGCAGAGGCGACCGTGTTTGTATTAGGGTTGGCTGACGAGGGAGGACTTGATGATGACAACAGATACTCTGAATCCAAAAAAAGGTTTCAGACCAGAACAAATGGGCTTCTAATTTATATTTAACGTAGCCCAACTAATAACCATTTAACCAAAAACGTAACATTGTATCTTGCAACGTGAACAAAAATCTATCAACCTAATTTAAATTGAACCAGTTAATGAAATCACAACTTGGATCCATTCAGACCATACCAATCGAATGTAGAGCAAAATAATTCTGTATGTAGGACAAAAAAATAACATCGAATATGGGAACGTGAACATCATTTCATAGGGATACTAAATCCAGTTTATGAAATCACCACATGGCTTAATAGTATGTAATAAGTAGTAACATTCGAAGATTTAGTTTATGATTTGGCAATTATAAAACGATGAACAAGACATCTGTTTTCACTTACGAATCCTCAGCATTTTATTTAAAATCTGTTTCATAAAGATAAATCGGTATAAATACGATTATAGAAATAGATGTATCAAC